TGGCGAGACCTCATCTCTACAATAAATAAAAAAACTAGTCGGGCATGGTAGCGTGCGCCTGTAGTTCCAGCTATTTGGAAGGCTGAGGCGGAAGGATTACCAGAGCCTAGCAGGACGAGGCTGTGGTGGCTAGGAGCGTGCTACTGCACTCCAGTCCGGGCGACAGAGTGAGACTACAACTCAAAAAAAAAAAAAAAAGAACCTAGAATAGGTAAAACAATTCTCGTAGAGAACAACTTGCTACATGATCTCAAGACTCATAAAGCTGTTCAAGATTATGCAGTATTGGCATAGGGAAAGACAAAGAGATCAATGGAACAGAATAGAGGGTCTTGAAAGACACCTACATATGTATGACCAATGACATTTCTGGACAATGTTGCCAAGGCAGTTCAATGGGATAATAAATGTCTTCACAATAAATGGTGCTGAAACAATGATTTAAGTGTGTAGGAAAAAATTTAACCTTGATTCCTACTACACACTACACAAACATAATTTGAGGTGTATTATATACCTAAACATGCACTCTAAAATTACAAAGTTTGTAGAAGAAAAAAGGAGAATGTCCTTTAGACTTTAGATAGGCAGAAGTTTCTTAGAGAAGACTCCCAAATCACTATTCAGTTAAAAAAAAACAAAAACAAAAAACCTGATAAACTGGGCTTCGTTAAAATTAAAAATTGCTGTTCATCAAAAGACTTCATTAAAAGAATAAGAAGACAATCCTCAAACTAGAAAAACATCTGTAATGCACATATCTGCTAAAAACTTATGCCCATATACAAAGAATTTGCACACAGACTATATGAAGAACTCAATGATAAAAAGACAAACAGCCAGGCTGGGCTTGGTTGTTCAGCCTGTAATCCTAGCACTTTGGGAGGCCGAAGCAAATGGATTGCCTGAGTCCATGGGTTCGAGAACAACCCAGGCAACTTGGCAAGACCTCGTCTCTACAATAAATCAAAAATTAGCTGGGCATGGTAGCGCGTGGCTATAGTTTCAGCTACTTGGAAGGCTGAGGTGAAAGGATGACCGGAACCCAGCAGGTCGACGCTGGGTTGGCCATGAGCGTGCCACTGCACTCCAGCCTGGATAATGGCGTGAGGCTCCAACTCAAAAAAAAAAAAAAAAGACAAACATCCAACTTTTAAAATGGGGCAAAACATTGAGGCTGGACTGGATTAAAAAAACGTGGTACATAAACACAATGGAATATTATGCAGCCACAAGGAAGGGCAAACATATGGACTTTGCAGCAAATTGGATGGATTTAGAGTTGATCATACTCAGTGATCTATCACAGAAACAAAGAACAGAGTACCATATGTTCTTACTTATAAGCAGACCTCAAACAACTGTCATAATACTATAAGAAAGGGATTGGCAGTAGTGGGAAACTGCCGGGGGAGGGGGTGGGATTGGAAGTTGAGGGAAACTACCAGGGGAGGGAGGGGTATACCTCATCAACAAGGGTACCTGCTTAATGAACATTTGTATACTTAACCCTGAATTGTACCCCACATCTTTAAAATAAAGGGAAAAAATGGGGCAAAGGACTTAAACACTTACAACTGGCCAAAAAGCACATGAAAACGTTCTCTGCATCTTTAGTTCTCTGAGAAGTAATCTCTAAACCATAATGAGATACCATTACACTCCCTCCAGAGTAGCTAAAAATGGGAAAGACTGACAATGCTGGCGAAGATGTGAAGAAACTAGAACCCTTATTCATTGTTGGTGGGAGTATAAAATGGTACAACCATTTTCAAAAACTGTTTGGCTGTTCCTTACAAAACTAAACCTACACTTTAACCCCTTAGTTGCATTTCCAAGGATTTACAAAACAGAAATGAACACTTATGTCCACAGAAATACTTGTACACAAATGTATCAACTTTGCTCATAATAGCCTCAAACTGGAAACAACCAAATGTTCATCAATAAGAGATTAGACAAATTGTGGAATATTCATAGACAGAAACTACCCATAAAAAAATGAACTGTAGATATACACAACAATGTGGATGACTTACTTGCCTGAAAGAAGACAGACTCCAAAGAGCACATACTGTGTGGTTCTACTTGGGTAAATTCAAGAACAGATGAAGCTAGTGGATGGTGATAAAAAGCCAACAGTAGTGGCTGGATTGGGACTCACTGCAGAGGGGCACAAGGGTTCTTGCTGGGGGAAGGGGATGCTCTGTGCTCCTGGCTGGTGAGGTGGTTACACAGGTAGACAATTGACCATAATTCATGTGCTTGGACTCTGTGCATTTCACTGGCTGTAAGTTTTAACTTAATGATCCTAGTTAAAAGATCATAGTGCCTTCCATTTGGGGCAGGGTGAAAACAAGAAGCTAGTTGGGGTGTTGTTGCTATAGTCCAGGCACAAGAAGGTGGTGGCCTGACCTGGCATCTTTTGGAAGGAGGGTATTGGCTAGCCCAGTAGGCAAGAGTCTTGCTTAGAGCTGACCCCAGATGACTGAATCCTTGAAGGCCATTTATCTGTGCATTTTGTTCTGACCTCCTTCTTTTTCTAAAAAATTCAGAGCTAATTATAACAATAGACATATATTCAATAAGGCTGAGAAGACAAAATTAAAATTGGAGCCGGAAAACAGAAGAGGCAAATATGCCAGTTTGAAGACTGCTATTAGAAAATGAAGACTGGAACCTCTCTGGATTGCACAGGAGGCTGTGTGGTTCTTTTAAGATCAGAGGGAAGGCAGTTCAGACTACACACACCCAACCAATTCTGAATCATGTTGGTTTTAGTTGAGGAGGTATATGTGTCTTTTAGAGGCTCTCTGGGCTTATGAAGCCAAAAGTATACAATTTTGCAGATTCATAACAGCATATTATATCACAAACTTCTGCTACATCAAGTGTTCTACAAAGAAAGGGGAGTATGTTAGGAAAAACAATCTTCTTCTGTTTGATATTGAACTTAATAAGTAGAAACGTAAATAGCATGGGCTGTCATTTAGAATAAACTATAAGCTTGAGTAAATGATCCATACTTTTATGGAATTATTATTGTTTAAAATTACTGCAAACTTACATGCAGATATAAAGATTAATTCTAATTTTAATATATCAAGTGAAAATGTAGGCAGCTACTGATACAGTAGAAATATTACAAAAATATATGCAGAAAAACATGTTAGTAGCTGACTGATCATTTCCAATGTAGGAAATTCAGTTAGTGCTGTTGATTCAAAGAGAGGATAAACTTGTTAATACTAGACATTCTTTAATTAAGAATTAACTAGTCAGAAATGAAAGAAGAATTGAAGAAAAGAGAGGATTTATGTGTGGAGAAGATGTTAAGAAATATACCAGTAAGGCAGTCATTCATATTTAGCCAGTCCCAGTTCTGGAACTTTGGTTTGGTTTCTTGAAATGGATCAGTACAGATGCATGCTTAAGTCAACATTAGAAAAATAATGGAAAACTCCTATTGACATTTCTCATTAGGTTTAATAGCAAAGGTCATTGTCTCGTGCAGAGATGGGGAAGGGAAGTAATTGTCATAAGCAATTCATAATGCTCCAAGATGACTGAATTTGGGGTTGGTTCTTCGCAAATGTCCTTGCAATTTATTTCAAACTGGTGGGTAAAAATGGCCACAGTTGGACACCACTAACGGCAAAATCATACTCCTGCATTGACAGTCTACGTGAAGAGAATGAAATGTGAAGAAAACTACAAACAGTTGGAAATTCTGAGGTATGGTTTAGGTTTGGCTAAAGCAGAGCAGGTGATTCAAGGCAGCGGAAGGTTTGTTGTGATGATTCTGGGTAGGGTGACTTCTCAGGAAGATGACTGGAGACACTGTGACAGATCGCTGTCAGGTGCTTTCTGGGGACAAGGCTGGTAGTGTAAAATACAGGTGGACTAGTGATGAAAACTGGACCACCTGGAGTCCAGAGGCTTCTTCCAGCTTAATAACGAGGGGTAGCAAGATGTCCGGATGCAGAACCTAAGGTCTGGCTTCTGGTCCTTGCTTGACTATTTACCAAAGACTCTGGTTGGACATGTCACATGACTCCCCTACACCTGGGCTTTTCCATGTGTTACATGGGGTGTGTCCTTTCTATCCTGTTAGTCTCATACGGAGGGCTATTGTGAGGATCTGTGCGACAGAGGACATTTTGGGCCCTCTGAAAAAGTTCGTGAATATCTGCTCGAGTTGTTTTTTGTTATTTGCTGGTAACTAACTCTGCAGGGTGAACTGAAGCTGGAGTCATGCGATGGTGTATACTCAAGCCTGGAGATATTTTAGGAAATAATCAATACAAGATGCCTTGGGTTGGAGCCATGATAAGAGTCATAAATCTTGACAGCCTGCTGTTTGATAAAATTAACCACATTTGAGAGAAATGTTGTAAAAGCCTACAGGAGGGAGAATAAAGAGTGTGTTTAGGGGGAGAGCTTAGGCCAATAGGGAAACAGAGTCGTCCAAGGAAGGTTGGTTATCATCTTGCTGCTGGTGGGGCAGTGTACATACACAAACAACACATGTACACATATACACATGCACAAATATACACATGCACACATGACACAGACACATGCATGCACGTACAGACACATACACACATGGGCAACAAGCACCAGTTTTGTTGGCTGGGTCTCAGAAGAGACTGACAAACGAGGACAACTAGCATTAATTCCAACCACGGACAGTTATGATTTGCCCACTCAAGGGCCCGCCACCTTCTGTCACCAGGTTGGCCTCCATGTAGATGAGGTTGACCTTCTATTGTGTAAGAGAAGTGTCTTTAAACACTATGTGCATGTGATCAGAGATTAGAAGTCTATGTTAATAAAAGATGAAGACATTTACTTTAGTAGAGTGATGGGATTATTTCCTAATTAAAAAATGCTTTTATTGTGTTTTTTTTAATTAAAAAAATGTAACATGCATTTGTTAGTTTAAAAGGTCAGAAAACCATAAGGAAACCTTGACAATGGATCGGTCATATTTTCAGGCAGAGAAAACGAGGAATTTTCTTGGTCGAAGCCTCATCATAGGAGAAGTCATTGCTTTCGTGGACATGGCCACAGCTGTGAAGGTGAGAGGTGCTGGCACTGCCCTTCCCGCATTCCTGGTCAGGAGTGAGAACTCTGGCCCTGGGAGCTCTCAGTCTACCTATTGGCGTAGGTGTTGGTAGGATGTGCCCTGGGCTTCTCCTTCAACCATTATATCAAATCCCGTCCTGCTTTTTCCTTTGCTTTTATTTTTTGTACAGTTTTATTACATTTATATCCATCAGTTATTTTCATTTGTCTTAATTTTTTTTTCCATAGGTGGCCTGTGATGTCTTAATGTTATAACAACAATATCATAATCATTTGTGATTTACATTTTTTACTCTTTAGTATTATTGCTAAGTTTGATCCATATTGTTGCATGTCACTGTAGTAACTAATTTTTTTTAGAAGAACATTTCTATTTTGAAATAATAACGCTCAAAGAAAGTTAGAAAATGGACATAGCGTCACGTGAGCTCTTTACCCAGCTGCCTCCAATGGCAATCTCTTATGTAGCACTAATGCAATATAAAACCAGAATATCGACATTGGTATCGTATTGTTGAATAGGATACAGACCTTACTCAGCTGCCACTAGTTTTTATAGGCAGCCAGTTGTGTGTGGTATATTGCTCTACGCATTTTAACTCCATACATAGATTCATGTAACCTCCACCACAATCAAGCTATTGTACTATTCCATCATCAGAAAGAAACTTCATGGTGCTACTGCGGATAGGTACATTGGACACGCACCACACTCTGTGTTCTTTGGCAACTGCTAATCTGTCCGCCATCTCTGTGGTTTTGTCATTGGGGTATTATATAGAAATGGAAGTCTATTCATTTTTGACTGCTGTATAATATTCCTCTGTGTGACTTTGCCTCAGCATTTATGCATTCACTTTCCCCTGTTTTTTCCCAAGACTGTGTGAATGTGAAAAGTGCTGCTGTGAATACTGTTGCTCATGTCTGGAGTTGAATATGGGTAAAAGCTAGGAGTGGGATTTCTAACTGTAGAATGAATGCATGCTTAACTTGAAAGGATAATGTCAGACTATTCTTGTTATTGCATCAATTCACATTCTCACCAGCAATATGTAATCAGATCCCACCCATACACATTCTCTCCTACATCTGGAATTTACAGACTTCTCCATTTTATGACTTAAATGGGTATATGATGGCACTTCATTGTCTTGCTTTGCACGTCCCAGCTTACCAAGGATGGTGAACGGAACAACTCCTATGGGTGTGACTGCTGAAGCTCCTCATGGTGCAGTATGCCTTCCAGCAGAGAATCATTCATGTGGCCCTGTGTATGTCCTCCTTTCCCTCCTGGGTCACCACTGGGTCTCAAAATAAGTTTTCCTGTCCAGACACCAGTTCTGATGTCTCCAAAGGGGAAACATTATAACTGGAACATGAAGATAGAATGATCGGTCTGCGGTGAGTCCAAGATAGTGGTGCTTTCTGTTTGGTTGTAGACATGTTCTGTGGTTGGACTTAAAAACAAAGACATCTGTGAGTGTCCACCATCAGTCTCCTCGGGAGAGACGGGCCTCCCTGTGATTTCAGCTGAGCAGGATCTCTTCCCTCCTGGATGGGTTGACTGTGGCTTTCAGAGTGGAGAACACTCAGCTGAGATGCAACAAATAGAGCCTCTCTCAGAAATCCTGGAGGATCCTGGTCCAGATTCTTTTTAAATTTTTTTTTATTTTAAAGATGTGGGGTACAATTCAGGGTTAGGTGTACAAATGTTCATTATGCAGGTACCTTGTTGATGAGGTGCTGGTCCAGATTTTTGAGCCCCAGTTTGTGCTTTTGCCATATTGCCCCTGACTTGCTTTCTCTTCAGCAAGCCTCTGTAGGTTGTCACCATGGGGACATCTCTTTGGGGGTGGGGTAGCAACTCTACCTCTTCTCTGGTCTCCTTGGAGTTGCACAGAGAATGTTTAAATGGATGAGGGAGGGATATCCTGCAGTTTAAACAGACTTAAGAAGCTTTTCAATCAATTGCAATGTATGGATCTTAATTTAGATCCTGGTTCAAACAACAAACTGTAAAGGAAATTATGGATGGTTAGAGGAATCTGTCAATTGTGCTCCTTAGTCTGGTCCAGGAAGGCCGTGTCTGTCTTTTCTGGTGATGGTGGAGGGAGATATTCAAGAGGGCACGTGGTATGCTGGGAACAGTTCCTGTGAGCCCTGGGTCAGTCAGGGGTTCCTCAGAGCCCCCTGCTCGCTCAAGAACAGTTTGTAGCCTTTTGCAGGAACTGGCTATCAACCTGAGGAGGGGGCATCAGCCTTGATTCATGAAAGCCAACAGTGCCTTGTGGGTCTGAACCCCTTTTCTCTCTCCCTCCAGGTCTGTGTTTATCCAGAGGCTTTGCATTTCCCTGATTGCTTTGGACAAGCTATACTCACACAGTCAAGTGCTGGCAGGGCTAAGGGCTGGCTCTGAGAGTGGCTCATAGCAACAGGGGTGGGCACACTAGAGAAGTGCCCGGGAAAAAGACTCTCTTTACTAGGGCTTTGAATCCCTACTCCAGTTTGGGAGCCAGCCCAGGTCTTATGCTAGAAATGTGGATGTAATCTGCAAGGACTCTAAGGCTGAGAGAAACGCAACAGGCATCCTTTTCTCCTTCCCCATGGCGGCTTTCTTTTTCTCTTATTTAAATCATCTTACTATCTGTCTTAGCCTGCTTGGGCTGCTATAACAAAATACCATAGACTGGATGACTTAAAAAACAGAATTGTATTTTCCCACATTTTTGGAGGCTGAGAAGTCTTAGCTCAGGATGCCAGCATGGTCAGGTTTTGGTGAGGGATCTTTCTCTTGGCTTTCGGACAAATGCCTTCTCACTGTGTCCTCACGTGGTGGAGAGAGGACCTGATCTTTTCCTCTTCTTATAAGGGCACTGATCTCATCATGAGCACCCTACGCCCATGAACTCATCTAACCCCAATCAGTTCCTAAAGCCCCATCTTCAAATGCCATCATATTGGGAGGTGGGGCTTCAATGTATGACTTTTGGGGTGACACAATTCAGTTCATTTCTGGGGTCACCATTGACTCCAAACACCCTTCCAGGGCCTCAATGTATCTCATTTGCTCTTGGAATGAGAAGATCCTGAACACGATCGAAGGCTCCTGAGGAGACACCCCCTTCCCCCACCTTGGGCTGTTGTGTAAGAAGGACCTGGCCTATTACAGCTGCGGTGCTGGCAGGCTTCCTGCGTAGGGACAGACCTCACTGGTCCCTCGTGGCAAGGGAGAACGCTGGGGACACACCTTGTGTCCTAGTCACGTGACTTCCTAGACACGCTTCTGGCATGTTCCTTTGTATGTTTGTACCTTAGTTTTTGCTTCTGTAGAGATGGCGCCACCAATGCCCATTCATGGGCTGTGTGCAGATTCAAATCCATAATGCTCGTGAGGAACTCGGTGCCAAGCCTGGCATAGAGCAGGAGCTTGGTAAGTGGTGGGGGTTGCAAACCCCTGGGATTGGCCAGGAGCACAGCCCAACAGTCTTCCAGGTAGTGGTTCTGTTGGTGGATTGAGGTGAAATGAGTCTGCCTTCCCAGCTATAGCAGACCAGATTCCCTCTCACTCTGAGATGTCTCCTAGGCATCATTTGGAAGCTAAGAGGCCCAGCCAGAGTCCCATCCTTTGGCCACTGTGGCCTGTCCTGGCTACACCTCCTAGCAACTCCACTGTGGCCGCCAGAGGCAGCTGCTGGCCCTCGTTGGGGTGTGGTCTTTACCTCTAGCTCCCAGTGTAGTGGTCCTTTTTCTTCTCTAGATAAGTGAGGAAGGAGGGGGTTGGGCTTTCCCAAACAAGCAAGACATGGTTGGTGCATGTTTGACATGAGAGTTTTCATTAGGTGTCTCTTCCCTTTTTATTTCTTCACCTCTGCTTTTCCCAGTCTCTCTCAGAGCAGATGAGCCTTTTTTTGTCCTGTTCCCTACTGTCTGCCAGGACACTGGGCAGCCATGACAGCAGTGGACACAGTGCCCTCTCAGAGGACACTTTGCACTGCTCTCTCAAGACGGATTGATGCTCATCTCTCATCGGTCTCAGAGTTTCTGTCTTAATAAGCCCATACCTCCTCCTGGCTACTCTGAACTGCAGTGAATGGGCTTTTTTCCTTCTCCCTCCAAATCCTCCCTTCTGGATACTCTCTGTACCCAGAATCTATGCTGAATCCTTCTACTTCTCTTCCCTGCCCGCCTACTTCCTGCTGGATAGGCTGGGGTCAATGTCCCTCCCAGGAGATACCTCCAAAAAGCATGTCAAGAGAGAGTGGTCTGCTTGCGTAGAACCCCCAGGAGCTCTCCCTGCACTTGGCCTAGCTTGGTCAGATTACCTGCCGTTCAGAGAATATGGGTTTTGTGGGAGAGGACCCTACACTTTCCCTGACTGTGTGGATCGGGGTCATGTAGACGCTGCCTTTTTTACCTGCTGCTGTTTCCTGCAAACCTATAGGTTCGCTCCAGCCCAGGGCTTCTACTAATGCATTTAGTGAACAGGGGCTTTCAAAATGTGGATTAAACATTCTAGTTTTGTTTTTGTTGTTGTTCGTGATTTTCTTCCCCCCATTCCTAAAGAGAAGGAAAGGATTTGAAATCTAGGAAAGAGACACATGATCAAGAATGCATTAGCTACCAACCAAAGAGATTTAGGGGTGGAAAATCCAACTTGTTTTAATTTTAGAAAAAAATTTTTTTTTTTAACTTGACTTCCAAGATGGTTTAGGGGGGAAAGAAGTGTTTTATTTGGATTGCTTTCATTTCCCGTGTTGGAATTAGTAATGCAATTTGCAGTGCCTGCGATGATTTTGTGGAGAAGTGTGCTGAGTCATTGGAGCGTGAAGCGTCTTCCCAGGATACTTTATGATTCTCCAAATGAAATGCACTTCATATGTCAGATGTGATTAGTGAAATTCGTCTGTCCTGATGTCGGAGCATTTTAGCTGGACCGAGATGCTAGAGTTGATCAAGTGCCATTTCATGAAGTTAGCGCCAGGTTGATTGTGCACGTGTGGTACAGAGAGCTCATCCAGATGCAGGGACCCCAGGAACAAAAGTCCAACCCAGCCTTGCCTGAGCACAAAAGGCACTTATGGGTGTTTGTAATTGAAGTGCACAGGGTGCAGCAGGCTTCAGGAATGGGTGTGCAGGACCTGGCCTCTCATCTCTCAGCTCTGCCACCTTCCTTCCACCAGGTCCCTCTACGTCATTTCATTTACTATCTCATGGCACCGTGACTGCCAGCAACACCAGGCATCCCTGCAGGCTCCATTGCTTCAGAAAAGAGGGCTTCTTTTCCTCAGTAGCTCATCCTGAAGTTCCAGATGCCACTCTAAATGGACCCACCCAGATCACAGGTTCACCCCTGGAGCCACTGTATGGCTTAGGGGATGAGAGTACTCAGATCAGCCAGTCTTGAGCTCTAGATTGTCCTAATGCTGGGTGGGGTCGACATCACTCACACACCACTGGGACTGATTCCAGGGGAGGAGGCCGTCCAGAGGAAAATTGTGTGGCTAGGAGGAAGAAGTAGTGCTGGCCTGCAGACAGCAAATGTCCCCACACACACGTTTGTCTGTCTGCCATCAGTCCCTCTGCTCCTTCCAAGTGGCTCTGCTCAAGCCACACTGCCTCTTCCTCTCCCTTGTCTTCCTCTTCCTCCTCTTCCCATCCTCCTCCTCCTTATTCTCTCCCTCCTCCCCCCAACCCCTGGTCAGCAATACTCTTCCAGGGTTTACAGAAAAAAAGCCCCCAAACCCCTCCAAAACCAGACAAAGTGCTTGGCTGGTGACTCTCACTGAATCCTCACAGCAACCTTTTAAAGTACTAGTAGGCTTTAGGCAGCTTGAGTTTGAACCTCGATCTCTCCTACTTTCTCGTGGTATGACCTGGGGTAAGACACTTTCGCTCTCTAAACTCGAGTGGCCTCATCCATTGCGTGTGGATGATGGTGTTTTCTTCACAGGGTTGTTGTGAGAAGTAGTAAGCTTGTGTGTGTGTAGCTCGGTAGGTGGGTGCACTCACCATTCACTTCACTTGTCAGATGAGGAAGCTGAGTTTACTCTGTCATTTGTCCAAGAGCCTGCAGCCAGTGGGTAGCTGAACTGGGACTGGGCCCAGGTTGTCTCATCCCAAGCTGAAGTATCACCTCTTCCATCAGCCTTCCTCTTTGCTGATGGTTTCTCATGGCAGGACTCACCCCTGCAGACTGTGGTCAGCCTGTGATCATTGTACTCACACTTTGTGTGGGATCATTATACTCACCCTTTGTGGCATGTCTTTTGCATCCCGGGTCCTGAGCTAGATCCTGAGAGGACAAGGCAGAATGAGCATTCACATCAGTCATCTCATAGGAAGACCTGGGCAGCTCTGCAGATGGAGAACTGACTTTCTGTGGAGACCTCTCTGAGAGAATGACCCATATGAGCCACATCTGTAGAGAGGAACTGGAGCTTGCCAAGCTGTGAAGAGGAAGGGCAGGGAAGCTTGCCACTTGTGGGACTTGGGGAAAGCTCAGGGAATGGAATGGTTCCTCGAGTGGAGTTTGACCAGTGGATTTAATTGTTGACTTTTGCTAATGATGGTTTGTATTGTCCTTGTTTCCAGTGTGGAATAATTTACTGGCTATTTGGTGGTGCTATCAGGAATCTCGGAAGCCCCAGACATGTTACTAAGTGGTTTCTGCCACTCCAGGTATGGCACATTCCTCAGTAGATGTTTTCTATGAAGAGCCTGCAAAATCCTTAGTAGTTGTGTGTGTGTGTGTGTGTGTGTGTGTGTGTGTGTGTGAAGAAAAGGAAAACAGAGAATTTGTGTCAGCAAAAGTCTTGTTCAGAATGATAATTCCAGGATTAACTTTTAAATATTGCATTAAGTCTGTCGTATTGTTAAGTTGTCATTAGCTGTCATCAGATTGGATTTTTATGAACTCCAACTCACCTGTCCCTTTCTTACCAACATTATTTTTTTGAGTTGGAGTCTCACTCTGTCACCCAGGCTGGAAGGCAGTGGTACACTCACAGTCACCAAAGCCTCAACCTGCTGGGCTTAGGCGATCCTTCCACCTCAGCCTTCCAAGTAGCTGAAACTACAGATGCACCATGCCCAGCTAATTTTTTGTAATATATTGTAGAGATGAGGTCTCACCAAGTTGCCCAGACTGGTCTCGAATCCCTGAGCTCAGGCAATCCTCTTGCCCCAGCCTCCCAAAGTGATAGGATTACAGACTGAGTCACCAGGCCCAACCTTACCAACATTCGTAATGGTCTGAGAGGTCTGCAGTTACAGCAGCCATCTGACTGGCTAACTCCCTAACATCTGGTAAACTCTAGGAGCAGAAATACACTGGGATGTTCGCCATGACCGAGAGGGGCCACGGGAGCAACGTGAGAGGAATCCAGACTGAAGCCACCTTTGACCTCTCTGCACAGGTGAGAATTCCATCCAGACCCGCCATCTGCGGCAACTCTGTGCAGAACCAGGCTCTCCTTTCTCCTAGCATCATGCCCTCTGTATGTGCTTTCTGGTCCTAGGAGCTCAGATTCAGAACAAGTTTCTTTTTTTATTTTTTAAATTTTTTTATTTTTTGAGTTGGAGTCTCACTCTGTCACCCAGACTGGAATGCAGTGGCTGCTCCCGGCCACCGCAGCCTCGACCTGCTGGGCTCTGACGATCATTCCGCCTCAGCCTTCCAAGTAGCTGGAATTATAGGCGCTACCACGCCTGGCTAATTTTTTGATTTATTGTAGAGATGAGGTCTCGTCAAGTTGCCCAGGCGGGTCTTGAACCCGCGGGCTCAGGCAATCCACTCACCTCAGCCTCCCAAAGCGCGGGATTACAGGTTGAGCCACCGAACCTGGCTCAGAACAAGTTTTTAAGTGTGTGGTAGAGGTGGTTGGATGCTCAGCCTTCATGAGTCCAGCACCTGCTAGCATTTGTACAGTGCCTATGATGCAGCTGCCGGGCACCACTCCAAGCACTTTCCATGTACCCTTTCATTTAATCCCCTGTCATGACTCCATGAGAGCAATACTAAAGCCATTTTGTTGTCCTTCCTAGCATCTGCAGGTAAAGGACAGGAGGAGATGCCTTTACTCGTATTCTCCATTGTACTGTGTGGCAGGGGTCACTGTCTGTGTGGGATTTCCTTGCTAGGAATCAAGTCCTCTGTGCTGGAGTTACACAGTGCTCTTAATCATGAACTGCACTGACATTTTTCATGACAACCAAAACAAGAGCTTCACAAAGGAATCTTATTTTTCTACCCTTCTGCATGTGATGAACTCTGATATTTTCCCTTTCCATTCCTTTCTTTCTCTTCCTTCCTTTTCTCTTTCTTCTCTTTGTTTTTCTTCCTTTCCCTTCTCTTCTTACCAATTAAAAAATGTTGGTCAAGACTCAGAATCGATCTCTTTCTCTATGATGGGTCACAGCTTGCACTGTGAATACTCTGCTCTGTAACCCTCACCCATCTCTATGCTGCCCTGAATAAAGAAAGCAACAGTTTGCTTATTTCACTCTCCTTTATAGTTTCTTGCTTGGTAGTGGGGATTCCTAAGAACTGCAAAGGAGCAGATAGCTTTTGAAGTTCTTTCTAGAAAGAGGCTCTATTTACCTGTGCATGTAAGCATGTGGCTGAGTGTAAGCCTGCACCTGTGTCTATTCTTTGTTTTCCTTGAGTTTGTCCTTGAGAATCTGGATTTTTGTTAGCAGGATTTCCTGAGCCATGAATGCTAGTTAGAGGTGGTCAGTGTCCACAGTGACAGATTCAGGGGAGGGTTATCTTGGAGGATGTCCTGCTTTTCTTCCTGCCCCAATGTCAGTTCTCTCCAGCAGCCTGATGTTCAAGTTCAGGGTAAGAACAAGAATAAGCACTGTCATGTATTGATCACTCACCAAGTGCCATGCTTTATATTAAGCTCTCTCTGTATAGTATTCTGCCTTTCCTCCTAGCAACAATCCTACAAACACAAATGACATTAAGCCATTCCTGTTAACTGAGCACGATGTGCTAGGCACTGGCCTAAGCAGTCTACATGTGACATTGTGTCACGTGTTTTACAATCTTATAGAAGGATATGATTGTCACTACTTCACAGATGGGGAAACTGAGGCGGTTACAATAATAATTATTTGTTGAAGGCCAGCAAAATGGTCAGTGTTGTGAGTACTATCTTGTAGAAAGGTATTATCTTATGGAAAGGTATTACAATCTTATGGAAAGGTTTTATTGTCCCTACTTCACAGATGGGGAAACTGGAGCTCACAGAGATTAAGCAATTGACTCTGGTTATGCAGTTAGTGAGTGAGTCTCAGGTTTGGGTGGGACTATCCTCAACAACTTGACTTTCCTGCCAGTGAGTGACATGCTGACCTAACATCTTTTGGATTTTGGCTAACTGATTTTTTTTTCCTCTTCCTAAGCCTGGGAGGTCACCTTGCTGTCATTGATGGGGGGAAAAAAACTACCCACGATTCTTATTTATTTGTTTCTTCTTATAATTATTTTTTTCCACGAACCTAATTTCCTGTGTTGGTCCCATTTTCCCCAAACAGCATAAGCGATTTAGCTACCTGGCATGCCTCTGCAGCTGCCACTTTGTGACAGGGGACTTGCCAAGCGCAGTCATAACGATGAGGAGCCTCTGGTGAACGCTCTGTCTCCCGCGGGGGTGGGAGAGAGAACAAGCCCATCATCAACTCATGCCACTGAGAATCGACAGAGCAGGGAATGATTTTTCCCTTCGTTGGGTTCTACATTTTCCCCTTCATTTCCCTTTTAAAATGCCAGAGCATCGTCAATGAACATCTCTCCCTCAAGGACTGTTTAAATTGCTTCCATTTTTTTTGGTTATTCATTCCTGTGGGCTGGTTGTCTCGTATTTATTTGGGGATGTGTGTGAATTGAGTAGTGCTATGGAGAGCTTAGAGGTAAGAGAAAGTTTTACTTTTATACTTTATGCTAAATAGCAAACATAAATGAGGTTATTGAGCTCTCTGGCCAAAGTCATCTTTTCTAGCACTTCCAACACTGACCACTTTGCTGGCCTTCGACAAATACTTATTATCGCAACTGACACACATGGTGTGCATTATTTAGATCCAGCTTTAACTCCAGGGTTTTGGCTGATGCAGACTTTCCGAACCAAGCATTTTGCCAAAAGTGACAAGCCTCCTTTCCCCGTGTGGAGCAGATGTTTACGAGGATAGGTGGCCTCCTGCTTTCTTCCCCATGCCACCAGATATTTTCTGCCAGGCCAGTGTTTCCTCTGTTACTTTCCTTCCTTTCTCCAAGATGTAAGCATGCCCCCTCTGGCATAGGGTTTTTTTTTGTTGTTGTTGTTTTTGTTCTTTACTACACCCAGCCTCGAGGAACGCCTCTCTTTGAGAAGTACTGGCTGGCCTGATAAGACAAGCATAGCCTCCAGAGACTTCTTTTAAATGGACATTCAGCTTGTCCATTTATGTTTCTGAAAAGCCCTTGCACATGTTAAAAGTTTCCCTGTGCAAACATATGTCGGAGAATGTTTTCTTAGGCTTCAAGACTGTATTTCTTGGCCAGAGGGAAAGCGTGGTCTGTATACTTTCTAGTCTGAAATCTGAGATAATCTTTGAGTGATCAATAGCTCGTTGATTTAGCTCAGCCACATCTTCAATATTGTCAACTCCTATTAAATCTGCATTTCAACCCTCTGCCACTTCCCCTGGGCTGTCCCAGGGACCCTGTATTCGCAGTTGGCAGTGTGGTCAGTCCCTTCTTGGCAAGAGGTTTAAAGGTCACCCAGGTGGTGAGGGAAACTGAGGAGGGACAAGAAAGAAAGGGGAGCATTTCTGTTGCGACCTTTGTATTGGCTTCCAGAGAGTAGGAGAAAGAAGATGGAGTTTTGAACAGAGACTGAAAACAAAAACCCTGCATTTATTCCTGCTTATTTGTGACCAATGTTCATTTCACACTGTTTTGAGCAGGAACTTTAGACATATTCAGAGACAAACTGCATGACATCTTCTATGATTTTTTTCCCTCCTAAGATAGAGATTCATTTACAAGTACTTTTGTTTTAAGGGCTTGAACCTTTTTTGGGAAACATTTACTATTATATTCATTGGCCAGGAAAATGGAGAGGCAGGTTCTGAAACAATCATCCAAAGGCTTAAATGAGTGATTTCGTTTTATAAAAATCAACATTCTTTGGGCTCATACTGTAAGCAATGGTGGCAGTAGGTCATGGTTGCCTCTTCATCTTATATCCAAGTATACAGTTTTTGCCTCTGAGTACTTAGTTGATGTTTAAACAAAGACCCATGTCATGGAGGCAGGAATGGACAGGGCCCAGGAACATGTGGAGGCAATGAGGAATCAAGTGATTTTCCCAGAAGGGAAACACACTAGCTGGAAAAATGAAACACAAGGAGGTAGATCCTGGAAAAATCCATCTAGGGACCCAGATCATTGGATATTCCATCCTCTCTTGGTAGCATCGCAGGTGGGGTGTTTGGGGGTAGGGGGTATGTGGAGAGTTGGGTTTATATATGAAAGGAGGGAACCTCAAAAACAGAAATTTATATATAAAAATTGTGTGTTGTATACATATTCTTACATGTTTAAACTTGTTACCTTCAAAGTACTGTCATGCAATACACCTATCGAGATGCTTTTTTCATTACTGAAACAGTTTTTGATAATCTAGATTGGGATGCCTTTTAGTGCGTCTGCCTTTTTTTGTTTCACATCCTCCACATCAGCAAAACATTTCCCTTTGAGGACTTTTTTCACCTGACAAAATAAAAAAAATGTCACTCGGGGTCAGATCGAGTTTAGGGAGGGTGAGTTATGGGGGTCATGCTGTTTTTGGTCAAAAACTGGTGAACACTTAGTGTGATATGGGCAGGTACGTTGGCATGGTGGGAGAGCCAGTCACTTGTTTGCCACAACTTGGGATGTTTCCTCCACAAATCGTGATGCAGCTTTCTCAAAACTTCCAGATAAAAACTTTGGTGGACCATTTGATCCAGAGGAGCAAATTCTGAGTGTACTACAAAGGTCCAACTCTCCAAAAGACAATTCCGGAATTTTTTGGGCTCCCCCGCCTTGTATTCCACCAGGGCTTTTAGGAGTTTTGCTGCTGAATTATTCAAAAGTCAAGACCTTGGTATGAAGTAGTGTAGGAGTAAAGATGTTGATAATTGAAGAAAGACTTTATACATTAAAGCCAGGCATACTCAGCTGAACAGCACACACGCCAGCCTGACATTATACAGACGAGGGACTGGGAAGGAATGAACGAACACCTTTTTACCGTTGAGCATTGCAACGTAGTCTCCTGATTGAATTGTTCCTTGAAAAATCACTTTCATCTCCAGTTATTTTTGAAGCTGAGACAGAGATGAAATATGCAACTGAGGTGACAGCTCAGTAGCGTTGGTGTCCAGAGGTGGAGCCAAACATCTTTTCTGCTGTCTCCTCTTTTGCGGCATAATCACCTAAGAACAACGCCCTGCACTGCGTGAATCTATTTTTGCAGTATCTGTGGCTTTGAGCTTGCTGAAATAAGCTGTGTGAAGGAAAACACTATGGATCTTCTGTTTCTGTGCAGGAGTTTGTTATCAACACACCGTGTGAGGATGCCGAGAAGATGTACATTGGGAACGCCATGCATGGGAACTATGCAACTGTCTTTGCTCAGCTCATTTTAAATGGAACATCTCAAGGTTTGTTACTGACAGACAACTAGCATCATTCTCTTTACTCAGATTATTTTCTGGGTGAAACATCACGGGGCTGTTTTTATCTTGTAAAAACTTCAGTCCTGGCCAGGCGCAGTGCCTCATGCCTATGATCCCAGAACTTTGGGAGGCTGAGGCAAGAGGATTGCCTGAGCCAAGGAGTTCAAGATCAGCCTGGACAATTTGGCAAGATCTTGACTTTACAATAAATTTACAAAATTAGCCAGGCATGGTGGTGTGCACCTATAGTTCCAGCTACTTGGAAGGAAGGCCGAGGTGGAAGAATTGCCTGAACCCAATAGGTCTAGGCTACAGTAGCTGTGAGCGTGCCATTGCACTCCAATCTGAGTGACAGAGTGAGGCTCCGACTCAAAAAACAGACAGACAAAAACACATACGTTCGAGACCCGCCTGGGCAGCAAGACCTCATCTCTACAATAAATCAAAAAATCAGCCAGGCGTGGTAGCTCATGCCTGTAATTCTGGCTACTCGGAAGGCTGAGGCAGAAGGATAGCCGGAGCCCAGTAGGTCGAGGCTGCGGTGGCTGGGAGCGGCCACCGCACTCCAGCCTGGGCGACAGAGTGAGACTCCAACTCAAAAAAAAAAACAAAACACATACGAAGAACAAAATTCAGTACTAACTTTATCTCCTAAATATACATGATGATAGAATTTATAATTACATTTTGACATTATACACTCTGATGTGCAATGCACAGTTGTAGAATGCAATGAGTTTTGTGATCCAAGCTTTGACCCAGGAAATAAACAAAGCTTTGTTCATATCTTTAGAGAGAAGCACTTAATAATGGTCACTATGCTTTCCCTAGGGCCCCACTGTTTCATCGTTCCTATCCGGGATGAAAACGGAAGCTTGTACCCAGGAGTAACGGCTGTTGATATGCTGCACAAGGAAGGTGAGTGCCCGTGTGACCCCCCTCCTGCACTCCTTCACACCTCCCTTCTGCTCCCCACCCCACCCCAGGAGAGCCTACCTGGAAAAGTGAAGGCAGAGAACACTTCCTCCAGAGAAGACTCTCTGTTTTTGAAGCCTCGTTAAGAGTCTTTTACTTAGAACTGTTGGAGCATGCTGCTGATTGCCATCTATGAATGTGCATTGGTCTCATTCTCTCCCAGCTTCTCAAATTTCCCAGCAACGAGGCCGTTTTGTCCCAAATGCCATCTGCTCCATCTTCTCTCTCCTTCTTGGACTTGGGTTCCCTAAAAGGGCAAGCTGCAGTTCTTTCCTTTGTGCTCCTTAGCTTCCCGCCTCTTGTCTGTGCTCACGAGGCCCTTGTGGAGGCCTAAGGACAGTGCATTAGTTTGCTAGGGGCCATTCACAGGGTGGCTTAAACAATAGAGATGAGGTGAGCTCGGTGGCTCAGCCTGTAATCCCGTGCCTTTGGGAGGCTGAGGTGAGTGAATTGCCTGAGCCCGCGGTTCGAGACCCGCCTGGGCAATTTGGTGAGACCTCATCTCTACAATAAATCAAAAATTAGACGGGTGTGGTAGCGCGTGCCTGTAGTTCCAGCTACTTGGAAGGCTAAGGCGGAAGGATCGCTGGAGCCCAGCAGGTCGAGGCTGCGGTGGCCGGGAGCGGCCACTGCACTCCAGTCTGGGCAACCAAGTGAGACTCCAACTCAAAAAAAAACACAAAAAACAAAAAACAAACAAAAAAAACAATAGAGATGTGTTGTCTTTCGGTTCTGGAGGCTGGACTTCTGAGATCAAGGCACTGGCAGGTTTGGTCCTTTCTAAGGGTGGTGAGGGAAGGATCTGTCCCAGGATACTCTTCCTTGGCTTGTAAAAATGACCTTCTTCATGTTAACCTTGTATTCTCCCTGTGTGCACATCTGTTTCCAAATTTTCCCTGTCTAGTAAAGGATACAAGTCATTTAGATGAGGGCTCACTCTGATGGCCTCATTTTAAGGCCCTATTAAGACTCTACCTCCAAATAAGGTCACATACACAATATAGAGGTTAGGACTTCAGCACACAAATTTAGCAGGGACATGATTTAGCCCATAATACTTGATAAGATCAGGCCACGCCTGTGGCCTCCAGTGCCCATCCTTGGCCAAAGACAAGCTAAGCCAAAGAAGGGAGTCCGAGAGAGAAGGATAAAAAAAGGAGAGAAGAAAGACACAGTGTAACCCCCCAGCACTCAGTGAGATCAGGCCGCGCCTGTGGCCTTCAGTGGCCATCCTTGGCCAAGGTTAAATCAAGCCAAAGATGGGGTGAGGGGGTTGGGGGGTGGAGCAAAAGACAGAAGAAAGAGTGGGAAGAGAAGAGGGAAGAAGCCGATCCCTTGGCAAAGGGAGACAGCTCATCCCAGCCCCTTAGTGTTTATCCACTACCATGCTTGCGGACATGGGCTGCAGGTGGGTTTGTGAGGGTTTTAAATGTATCTCCCAGGGCTGACTGAGGCCCTGGCTGGCTCTGGCCCCTTGAAAGCGCCTCACGTGTCAAGTGTTGCTAAGAGCAGAGGGGTGGGCTGAGCTCTGTAAAGCTGTGCCAGACGTTGAAAACATTGGCAAAGGCAGAAAGTCTGTTTTGGTGTCCTTGTAAGCTCCTAAATGCAAGTGTGTCCTTGTCAAGGGGTGATGTTCTAAATAAAGATGTTTACCAAAGGCAGATATTTTTTTCCAGTAGATGAAATCTCCCTAAGTTTTCATGAACAAAGAGTAGATGACCCCAGACTCTGACAGGTGTCTTTAGGAAATGAGTTGGCGCTTCCACCCCTTCCTCCCCCGTCCCTCCACCTCCCCACCCTGTCCTTGTGACTGTTTTCCCTTGTCTTCTAGGCACTTGCTGTCACTGGTTAGCTCAGTGTGATGAGGGAGGACTGGGAGGGAGCAGGGATTTGAGCTCTGCATTCCTGGGGAGAGCAAGCTGGCTTTCCTGCCTTCTGTCTTCAGCTTTCCATCTTTCAGCTGCTTAGAACTTTCCCTTTCTTAATCTCAATCACTGTTCTGGGGTAGGTGTGCCCGCATCAGACCCCAGCCTGAGCTCAGAACAAGCACACAAGGATGGAGGAATAGGTTAGAAGGGTGGAAGAAACAAGTGCAGCTCATCAAGGAAACAGACAGACAGCATCCTCCCCCTGTCAAGTAAAAAAAAAAAAAAAGCATCAACAATTCTGGAAGTAAAATAAAGGGCTTTGCATTTTAGTGGAGACAGGCTTGGGAAGCTGCAGGGGATGCTGTTTCTGATGCTGCATAGATTTCTCCCTTTCTGCTCTTTCCAGGTCTGCACGGTGTGGATAATGGGATTTTAATATTCGACAAGGTTCGGATACCCAGGGAGAACCTGCTGGATAAGTGAGTAGCTTCTTCACTCAGGTCAATAGTGCCGTGCCAGTGATCTCATTGCTCTCTGTGGCTGGGCCCCGCTCTTGGGTCTCATGGCTGCATGTCCAGAATCTTCTCTCAACCACCCCCATGTGTTTATTGACAACTAATTGGAGCAGTTGGATAACAAATAGAAAAAATTAAAAATGATCCACCATGCTGTTGCCCAGACATAATGATGGTCACTCTTCAATGTACATCTCTCGAGATGTATTTCTGTGCTGATACGTATAAAAAGAGAGATGTGAAGGATTTTTACCAAAAAGAGATACCATGGAATTTGGTCAAATGAGCTCCACTTATAGATTCTAATTTTAATAACTTGTAATTTTCATTTAACATTATATAGCAAATATTTTTATGCAACAATAAATACACATATGCATTATTGTTTTTAAATTTGTTTGTTTCATTAGCTTTAGGGGTACAAATGGTTTTTGGTGACATGGATGCATTGTATGAGGGGGTATCCTCCCAAAGATGAAATTATGTTTTGGAGGGTGGGCCCCTTGTAGAACAAGCTTCCCTGGCTAGGTAAGTGTTCTAGGAACCCACTGACATTAGTGTACCAGCTAGCGTTGTTGTAAGAAGCTGCGTTCAGCCTCAGTGAATTTGTTTTGGAGATTCTTTCAATGTGTTTGCCCATTTCATGATGAGTGCACCTGCCCACACAGCGCTGAATATTCTGCAGTTTTGGACAAAAAATAGCATGGCTCCTGTACCCCACCATTCCTATTCACCAGATCTTGCCCCAAGTGCCCTTTTTTGTTTGTTTCTCTGAATGAAAAAAGTCCTCAAAGGCAAATATTTAGTAGACATGGAGGAGGTGAAACAAGAAATAGCAGATGCACTAAAAGACACCAAAATTGACATGTTCAAAGCCTGTTTTGAGCAGTGGAAAAAGCATCTCCATAGGTGTATTGCATCAAATGGAGAGTATTTTGAAAGTGACTGAGGTTTAAACAAGTAAGAATAAATACACAAGTTTTTATAAATAAACCCCAGATTTTTCCGGGTTCCCCCTCATGTAGTGGTGAAGAAGTCTGGGCTATAAGTGTGCCTATCATCCCCACTAGTGCACATCATACCTGATAGGTGATTTCTCATTACTCCCCGTCTTTCCACCCTCCCCCTTCTGAGTCTCCAATGTCCATTTTAAAATAGTGCTAGAATAGGCTGCTAAATGAATGGTCTATAGTTCATGTGTTCAGTCCCTTATTGCTAGGCATTTAGGGTTTCTCCTTTGTATCCTTCTTTTATAAACAGATTAGTGCTATTGTCTCCTTTGTGGGTGCAGGAGCTGAGGCCCCATCTTTCAGCTTCCAGGTATGCTCCGGGGGTGGAGCTCCAAGGGTTAATGATGCTCTTTGCAGGAAAGCTTCTTTACTAAGAAGCATGAAGTACCTTTAATTTTCTCAGCAGCTTTCATGTATCCAACAACATCGCGAGTCATAGTCCTATTTAAATCTGTGACAAAGCCAGAAATCAGTGTGTATACCACCAGCTGTCTCCTACCTTCCTTTGGGTTTTCCTTGACTACTTTACTCCTTTTGTTGCCTGTATGTTCTTGCCTGCAGATAAATGTTGTAGTAGATACCAAGAGTTTAAGAAAATTGACGGGGCATCGTGGCTTATGCCTGTAATCCCAGTTTTTTGGGAGACCCAGGTGAAAGGATTGCTTGAGTCCAGGAGTTCAAGACCAGCTTAGGCAACATAGCAAAACGTCTCTATATTAAAAATGGGGGAAAAAAATTAACCGGGCATGGTGGCATGCCTGTAGTCTCAGCTACTCTGGAGGCTGAGGCAAAAGGATCATCTGAGGTTGAGGCTGTGGTGAGCCTTGATTGTGCACTCCAATATGGGTGACAGAGTGAGACTCTGACTCAAAAGATAAAAATGAAATTAAAAGTTTAAGAGAATTGCATGGGAAGCAAATTTGCAACGGACCAAATTCCGTTTAACTTTTTCCTCCTGTGGATTGGTAGGAAATAAAATGTAAACAACAAAAGCATCTTTGCAGTTAGCCTGGTGTGTGCCAAAGTCCCCAGCACCCCTTAGGAGCCACCAGTGCCCATGACAGCAGGTCTGGGGACCACCAGCCTCCCCAGAGGGGTCTGCAAAATTTCCAGTCATTCTTCAGCTTCACTCTACTGTGGGAGAAAGGGAAGCGGGGAGAAGCTACAGGAAGGGAGCTCCCTGTATTTTACCACCAAACGAGATCTTCGTGACCCAGTGTCCTCTGCCAGGAGCTGGACCATCTCTCTGGGCATTCATCCAGTGATTAGAAAGTCAGATTCAATGAGAAAAAAAATGATAGTGAGCTACACTGTCTGTAGAAAATATGAAGATATATAACCAAACAAGATTTGGCTATAGTGTCATTCCAGTAGCATTCAAGCTGCCCCCAAAATACTATAGAACAGCCCGTGGTAACACAGGGGTTTTGAGGTTTGAGGGCAAAGCCCCGCTCTTGGAGTGTGGGCTCATCACTTGATATAAAGTAGGTCAGTAAACAGATGTACAGTTTCAGTGCAATCCCTGTCAAAATCCCAGCTGCCTTTCTTTTTGCATAAATCTTGAAGCTGATCCTAAAATTCATATGAAAATGCACAAGACTCAGAATAGCCAAAACAATCTTAAAGAAGAGCAAAATAGCTCTCACACTTGTGATTTGAAAACTTATAACAAAGCTACAGTAACCAAAGCAGCATGGTACTTGCTTAAGGATAGATATACGAATAATGGAATAGAATGAAGAGTCTAGGAATCTTCACATTTAAGGTCAATTAACATTAGAGTGCCAAGACTATTCAGTGGGGAAAAGAATAGTCTTTTCAACATATAGTGCAGCAACAACTGGATATTCAAATGCAAAAGCATGAGGTCAGACCTTTTTAACCTCATACCACATATAAAAATTCACTCTAAATGCATCACAGGCTTAAATGTAAGAGCTAAAATTATGAAACGTTTAGAAGAAAGCTTAGGTGTAACACACACACACACACACACACACACACACACACACACACACACACTCACATACATATATATTTTGAGTTGGGTTCTCACTCTGTCACCCAGGTTGAAGTGCCGTAGTACTATCATGACTCACTGCAGCCTTGCCCTCCCAGGCTCAGGTAGTCTTTCCACTTCAGCATCCCAGGTAGCTGGGACTACAGGTACACACCACCATGCCTGGCTAAGTTTTTGATTGTTGGTAAAGACGAGGTCTCTCTATGTTGCTCAGGCTGGTCTCAAACTCCTGGGCTCAAGCAATCTTCTTGCCTCAGCCTCCCAAAGTGCTGAGTTTACAGGCCTGAGCCACTGCACCCAACCAATAGATGTAAAATTTTGTGACTCTGGTTTAGGCAATGGTTTAGGCACCAAAAGAATAATTAACCAAAGAAAAAAAATAGATAAATTGGACTTTGCCAAAATTTTAAAAATACTTTCATGCATCAAAGTACCGTGTGAAGAAAGTGAGAAAAAAATTCACAGAGTGGGGAAAAAGTATTTTCAAATCATATATATCATAAGGGTATGGTATCCTCAATATAAAAAGTAGGATTATAGCTCAACAATTGAAAGATAAATAACCAAATTTTAAAATGAACAAAAATCTGAATAGATATTTCTCTAAAGAAGACATACAAATGACTAATAAGCACATGAAAAAATGCTCAATATCGCTGTGGTTAGGAAAATGCAAATCAAAATCACAAAGAAATGCCATTCTGCACCCATTAGGATGGCTATCACAAAAGAGACAGACAATAAAAGTGCTGGGGAAGATGTGTCATAAGAACTGTTATACATTGCTGGTGGGGATGTAAAATGGTGTCACCAATTGTCATATTATCCCACTATTCTTTTTTTTTTTTTTGAGTCGGAGTCTCACTCTGGTATGTAAGAAAGCATTGTCCACAAGAGAATTGAAAACATATAACCACGCAAAAAAACTTGTATACAAGTGATTATAGTATACTTATTCATGTAGCCAAGAAGTGAAAAAAACCCAAATGCTCACCAACTGATGAAAGGGTAAATGTGGTATATCCTTACAACGGAATATTATTCAGCCACAAAAAGAAGTGAAGCACTGATACATGCTTCAACATGTATGAACCTTGAAAACATGATGCTAAGCGAAAGGGGCCAGACAAAAAGACCACATATTGTATGACTCCACCTATGTGAATTGTCCAGCACAGTCATATCCATAGAGAAAAAAAAAGTAGACTAATGGTTGTCAGAACCTGGAGGGAGGGCAGTATGGGGAAATGACTGCTGATGGGATGGGGTTTCTTCTTGGGGTGATGAAATGTTTGGAATTGGGTAGTGGTGATGATAGTACACCTTTGTGACTATACTAAGAATTTTAAGGTATGTGAATTGTATCTCAGTTTTTTAGAAAGTGGACTGGCATGCGTCTGCACACTCAGTTCCAGCACGGATTTGAAGACCCCTTGCGCCCTCTCTCACGGAAACCCCTACTTCTCATGAACCAAGCCTTTCTCAGCATCTCCTGTGGGGGAACACTACTACCTTACTCTGTTCTCTTTCTCACGAGGAGGTTCCTAGATGGAAAAATCTGTGTGCTTCCCTGTGTGTGCACATGGGAGACACCAGACTTCATTTCTAGTGATGTTTTCCCTAAAACCCCACCTCTCTCTTCCACAGGTTTGGTTCTGTGACTCCAGACGGCCAGTACCATTCACCTATTAAGAGCAAGAGTGCAAGATTCAATGTGATGCTGGCAGCGCTGACCCCTTCGAGATTAGCTTTGAGTTTCCAAGCTATGGGTGCCATGAAGGTAGTTGACTCTGATTTTAATGTACCTCACTGTTAATTCTCTGCATGACCTGGGATGGGTGACAATTTCAGAAGCCGAGCTTCTTGAGCCACAGTTGTGTCACATGGCCAGGGTTACCTGTTTGACGCTGGGAAGTGCCAGGTGGCCATACGCAGGGAACGCGTCTGTACCCTTCTTGAGGCGAGATCCCATCTGCATCCCAGATGTGGGCTGCAAATCATGGTGGTGGAACAATGTGGTAACTGAGCCATGAGAGAGGACCCAGGAAGAATGGGTTGTTCAGAGCACGCACATCTGCTGGAAAAGCAGCCAAGGGTTGACTTTCGTGGGCAAAGGTCAGGGAGTGTTGATCCTCACGTGGCTGATTAGGGTGTGACATTTGCCATCGCAGCTGGAGTCCCTGAAGTCAGACTTCCAGAAACCATCTCTTCCCTTCCCTCCCCCACCCTCCCAGACATTGGTTTGGAAAAAGGAAGGACTTCCTTCTCCTCCCAGGGCTCCAAGCCGCTTTGTTCTTTGGGCCCTCTCCATTTCTTTGCACGGAGGAAAAGCCTGCTCTAAGCTCCACTGAGCTTGGTGAAGCTGGAATAAAAATTAAGACTTCCTAGGAATATACATCTGGGGCTTTGAGTCCAGCTTTTCCATCAAGAAGGAAGACATTTCATTCACCTGACTCCAGGCCTGACATCAACCCGGCAGCCGTCTGAAGAGAGGAAAATCTGTCTTTACTTGCTTCTACGGGTTCTGCCACGCTTCACGGGTGGCCCGCCCCAACCTGAGATCCTCCTTACGCCACTTGCCTTGAGAGGGCACAGCTGTGACTGTCAACATGTGCGCTCAGTCCAGAGCCCGTGATCTCACGCCTACCCATGCACCCCAGCTCATGCACTTGTTTCCCCATGGCTCTTTCAACAGGGTGAGGTGGGTGTTCAGGTCTGAAGTCCCACATGGGGAGTGGCTCAGGTCCCTTAGCAGAACCGTCTGACGAACGAAGCCCCAGAGAGCCTCACAGTGAAGGCAAAAGCACGGACAGGGCGGAGCGCTGATGAGTTCTTCAAGTCTGCAGCACAAATCAGTCAGCCACCTTCAGGACCCTAGCAAGGGGCAAAAGGAGACAAGCCAGAGGAGCCTAGAATTGCATCAAAGAAAAGATGGGAAAAAACATCTGATCTGGGCTATCTGAAACTGTGGTAGCAGTCCCTGCACAATATCCCCTCTCACCGCAGAGGTCTTCAGACAGTCCCGAATGAGGGTCCCTCCAGGGAGAGTGTTGGGCACATATAAAAACCGCATGATGGATGGTGGTCAGTGTCTAGGCAGCTGCTGGGAACCCCCGTGCTCTTGCCAGTTTTAGAGTAGGTCGTGGTGTGTGAAGGATATCCACGCGGCAGTAGCCCTGTGCACTCGCTGAGGTCTGCGGGGGACTCGTGCAGGGCAGGGCATGGAATGGTGCAGGCAGGGCAGTGCTGGGCCTTCCAGGAGGATCTTGGCTTAAATGTCTCCAGATCTGGAGTCGGTGTGGAGGTGGTAGCTTGGGGAGAGGAGACAGAGTGGGTGATTCCTAAAAGGTTCCCATTCTCCATTCTCCTGAACATTTTCAAGGGACTAGCCCCTGCCAGCCCCGGAGGGCTTTGGGGGTCACATTCGGGTGGATTTTTTTTGTTGAGATTCTGATGCGCGTACTTGGTTCCTGGCAACGTAGAGGCAGGATCATGGCCTTGGGCTCTGATGTCAGAAAACCCTGGACTCAAATCTCATCCCAGAAGTGGCCAGAGGTACAGCCGTGGGGCTAGTCAGGAGCCCTCTGTGGGTCTCAGTTCTTTTCATTTGTAAGATGGGTTTTATGATGATGGTGAGGCATGAGCGAAGGACGCATGTGCAGTGCTTCCGTAGGGCAGGTGCTCCAAACCATTGCTCATGTGACAGTTGTCCCTGCTGCTGCTGTGGTTACTGGCAGGCGGGAGTTAGCTGTAAAGGAATAAATGGGCTTTCCCATGAAACGGATGCCTGGAATCCTGGGGCCTCAGGTGACAAGGCAACCTGAAGTGTTTTGGAGAGGTGCAGAGTGTCTTGTGTGGATTCCTGAGTGTCTAAAGCAAACCACAGGAACCCAGAATCGGCACCTGCCCTGAGCATCCGGCCCGGGAGACTCTGCATCGAGCCTGGCAGGGCTCAGGCCCTGAGGGATCCCGGCACCCTGCAGGTCGGCAACCCGGGCCGCTGTGATCTCATCGCGAGCGTCTCTGGCGAGGATGATCTCACCGGGCCTCTTGGCAGCGCCTCCTCTCCTATGGCTCAGACACATGACATATGTTTCCCCCGCTGAAACCTAAGACGGTCCTGCTCACTCTGCTCTGGCTGATGAGTGGAAAAACGGATCCCTTTCTCCTCCGTGCATTCCTTACGTATTAGAAAACTGTCACCACGGCTCCCCACAGTGACACTCACTCAAGGCTGGGCATGCCCGGTCCTTTTAAACTTTGCCCAGATGTCTTATTTTTCATGGTTATCTTTCATTTCTGTGGCGTTTCCTTGGGACTTTCAGATTTTCTCTTAAAGGCTTGCTGTAATAACCATCCTCAAATCATTTGTGTCCAAAATGCCAGGCCAAATTAAATGCTTAGCATGGACATAAGGAATAGGAAATGAAGATGGGGGGGGCAGGCATGGGGGAGTCGGGGCTTGAGGGAACACTGCAGCCTACTTGGGGAGTGGGGAAGTCCTTTCAGAAGGAGGAGGAAGCTGAGGTCTAGCCCAACCTGGTCTGATTTTGCACAGAAGCATGTGAGTGTAAGACAAGTGAATCTTGTAAATTAGGTAATACACAGTAGCTGGGTCCCACCCCCAAAATGTCTGATTCAGCCACTCTGAATGGCTGAATGTCTGATTCAGCCATTCAGCCACTCTGGAGAATGGAGAATTTACATTTCCAACAAGTTCCCAGGTGCTGCTGCTGGTGGTGGGTGGTACCTTGGGATCCCCTGCATGGGATAGATAAAACTGTAAAATCTTGGCACTGTCCCATTCCTGTGTCACCCTCTGTGGCCCCCGGGAGCAAGGCCCAGGTTCGCTTCCTGTCTCCAGGACCCTATGGAACCCTTCACTCTGTTCTCTTCTTCCCATCGGCCTCATTTCCATCTGTCCCCTGTGCCATGGGACACCGTTGTGCTGCCTGATGCCCTCGTTTTGCATGGCTAATTTTCTTGTGCATTTCAGAGCTAATGTGGCCATCTCTTTTTCAGAAAGGCCACGGCCTGCATGTGGCCCCTCTGTCATCTGTTCCCAAGGCACTGAACTCTCCCTCGCATAACCAACTCACGAGTCATAGGCAATTTCTCTCTCCTTTGCCTAAAAATGCTGCAGCCAGGGCCCTGCGCCTCATTCCCCGCCATATATGCAGCTCCCCACGCAGTGTTGGGCATGTAGTAGGTACACAGCAACTAGGAGTCGGGAGAGTGATGGAATAAAAATCACATAAAAGCCTCTAAGACCCTGGAATAGCTCCCAGAGAGGTAAGTCCTCGAGACATGTTCGAAGGGTTCTTGTGCCTCCATAGCCCAGCTTCTCAGCGGTTTCCACCTTGAGTGGGAAGAAGGATGTCGCTGCCCCTTGATTCTAAACCTGCATGACCCTGTCCAGAACCATGAGTCTTCCTTCCTTTCTCTCTGTCCCTCTACCCTAGGCACTGCTCCCTGTCACGTGTGCTTTATGTGTGCACACCCGTGCACATTTGCTTCATGTGCGTGCACACGGGCTTCAGGTACATCTGTTTGTGCACACAGGCGTTCTGTGCGTGTGTCTGTGCACATGTGCTTCGGGTGCGTGCACATGGGCTTCATGTGCGTGTGCCCATGCATGCATGCTTCACATGCATGCACATGGGTTTCATGTGCTCATGCCCCTGCCCACGGTCTTTGTATGTGTATGCCTGTGCTCTGCACTGTGAGCAAGCACTGAAGTTGTGCCTGCTTTGCACTTGGGAGTGAGGTCCTTGTGGTCTGGGAGTTTGTTGGGGTGTGGCGTGCACTTCACACTGTGTCCCAGTGGTGTGCTGCAGGGCTGTGCTGAGGATAAGACAGGACTCTAGGGCTGCTGTCTTTCCAGGTACGTGGGTGCTGGGAGACAGAGACACTCCTCAGGCAGTCCTGGGAGATGGAAAAGACACCTCCCAGTCAACAAGGGTGCAGCCCATAAAAGGGGCAGCATTTCCTGTCTCTGGAATTGAAGGGAGGGCACAGGGAAGAAGCTGGTTTCTGGGGAACTCTCAGAACTTGCCATAGTCCCATAAACTTTTCTGAGAGTGCACGTGGTTGGACATGAGTAAAGGGTCCAAGGAAGGCTAAGAGAGTCTCTCCTGCTTATGAGTGAGGGTTTGAAATGGGACATAGTGTCCTTGAGTGGTTTTTCCGTAACCTTCTGACTGTAAGGATTCACAGAGGACCAGAACAACAAGAAGAGGTCAAGAGCACCTGAGGCTCCTCCTAGAGCCTGCAGGGGCTGGCCCGTGGCCAGTGAAGGGAGTGCCAGTGGTCCTGCAGCCCGCACTGCATTGGGTGAGCATAAGGTCATGGCAGGCTACATGCTCCTGCTGCCATCTGGTCTTGTGTTGGGGCTGCCCTTTCCCTGTGCTCTGACATAGCTCCAGAGATGTCCCTGATGCCGGTGTTTTCACCCTGATGTCTGGCTCCTAGGCATTGACTCTGTCTGTGTGCTTTAGTCACTGACTGGTTTTATAGAAATGTATTATAGTGTCAGACATTATATCTGTTCTGATGGCCACGAACCAAATGCCATGACACTTCCCCCTGAGTGGAAGATCACTCAGCCCCTTCACATGAATAATCTCAGTTTGGGTGGCCACTGCTATGAACTTTCAGGTTTTGGGTTTTTTTTTCTTGCTGGGGGTCACCTACTTTTATTTTCTTCTGGAATCACTTTATGTTCTTCTCTTCTTGTCACTTGGATTGATCTCATTTTTATCATTCTAACAGAACATTTAG